ATACTACTAGAATTAGAAAAAGTATATAATAAAAGTCTCTACTCTACGTAAGTATCTCTTATGCTAGAAAGTTTAGAATTTTACTAAGAAGTAATATAACGCTATAAAAAAAGCTACTAAAATTATATAAAGTAATATTATAAAAGCGTAAGCTAGATAGACGCTCTAAGTAAATAAAAAGTACTAAGAATCTAATTTTACTATAGGTAATCTTATCTATATTAAATCTTATAGCTTTTTAATAGATTAGTCTAATATAAAGCTTAATTAATAAATATATAGCTTTTATCTAATTATTACTATAAAGAGTTACTTTTTCTAGCTCTAGCTATCTATATATATATATATACATAACGTTTTTTATACTAATTAGCTAAGAAAAGTCTTAAAGCTATTACTAGAGTAGATAGAACCTAAGTAGCTATCTATTAAAGTTAATAGTAATCTAGAATAGCTTATATATAAAATTCTAGATAGCTATCTTTATTAAAATTATCTTTAATACTACGCTATATAGGTTATTTATAATTCTAACTCTACCTAGTATAATACTATAGGCTTTATTAATACTCTCTATAAGGTAAAAGACTTTTATATAGTATATCTAGATAAGCTAGAGCTACTATTATAATTAGATACTTAGATTAAAGCGTATAAAAAAAAGAAAACTCTAGAGAAAATAGTAGAGAATTTAAAACCTATAAGAGTAGAAAATATAAGAGTAACGTAAAGACACTACTAAGTAATTTAAGACTCTACTAAGCTTATAGTATTATTTAAGAAAAGAGCCTATAATAAAGCTACTCTATAAATATAAAAATAAGCCTTCTAGTTTAAATCTCTATAAGCCTCTTTCTCTCTAGTAGATAAGAGCTCTATAGAGAATAGAGTAACTAGAGAGAAGATAGTAGCTATAAAAGCGCTTCTAGTTTAAAACTAATATAAATATACTTACTATAAGCTAAAAGAGATAGTTAAGAGTATAACATAAAAGTTTTAGAAGAAAAAAGACCTAGAAAACGTATTTTAGAGCTTAGAGATAAGCTCTCTCTATAAGAGAGAGTAATATAATAGTCTAGTTTAGAGATTTACCTTAGTTATATAACCTAGAGTTATATAACCTTGTTATATAACTTAGTCTAGTGTCTTAGCGCTTAGTATCTCTATATATAGAGCCTCTTAGAGTATTCTTCTACTTCTTACCTTTAGATAGCTAAATTTAACCTAACCTACTCTACTAGTATCTTTTATTCTTATAGCTTATAGAGACTATACTATCTATAGCTAACTTACCTAGCTAGATATTCTAGAGATACTTATAGTAGTAAAAACTATAAACCTAGCTCTTATAGTACTTCTAGGTAGTAGTATTATTAGTAAAGAGTATTAGTATATATAATTAAACTTTAAGCTTTAATACTACTAAATCTAGGTTAAATAGAACTAAGCTAGCGCTTCTAAATTCTACTCTAATATTATTATCTATAATTAATATATAAAAAGCTACGTAAAATATAAGTAGAAACTTAGTTTTTATAATATAGTTAGTATAGCTATATATTAGAATCTTAACTTAGTAGCTATATACTACCTTTAATAGTAAGAAGTAGCTAATATTAAGTAGCTATAGAAGGTATAATAAATATACTAGTATATAGAGAGCTATAATTTTATTCTTCTTATAGTACTACTAGAACTTAATAAAGCTATAGCTTTTATAGCTATCTAAAATTAGTAGATAATATATACCTATAACGTAACTCTTAGTATATACGTTAAAGTACTTTAACTATATAATACTAACTTTATTTATTATCTAGCTACTTTTAGAGATAGCTATAACCTAGTTACATAATAGCTAGCTACCCTTATACTACACTAAGAAATAGTTCTTACCTATAATAATAAGAAATAGTAGAACCTATATATTATCTACTACTCTTACTATTATAATTACTAAAATCTACTTATAATTATCTAGTTAAAGACTCTTTAGTTATAATTATCTCTTAGAGCTAGTAACTACTATCTAAGGTAATATTATTTTTATTATAAAGCTAGATTTATTAAAATTATACGTATCTTTATTAGTAATACTATACTTTATTTTTATATTATATACTAGATTAAACTACGTCTAAATAATTATAGAATCTTCTTACTTTACTTTCTAATAGTTATAGTTATAATTAAGCTATATTTTAAGCTTAGAATAGCGCGTAATAAAGTTATTTAGCTAGTTCTTACCTATAACCTTTTCTCTCTACTTAGTAAGTAGCTAATTAGCTATATCTTAAATAGTAGTAAGCTAGAAAGTAAATTCTTACGCGTCTAGGTTAAGTATATACTTAACTATTACCTACTCTTTATTTATAGTAAGCTTTATTAAATTAGATATCTTTTTATATTATAGAGTAACTTTATAGTATTAATAGTAAACTTTTTTCTACTCTACGTTATAGAGAGCTATAGCGCGCTATAAGCTTAGCTCTAGATTCTATTAAATAGTCTAGAGTATAAGCTATATCTATAATAGTTCGACTCGGCTTCGACTCGGTGCTTCGGCCCGACTCGGCTCCGCCTAAGTCACATGACCCTGCCTAGCGCCTTGGCATAGGCACCCTGTGTATATAGAGAGCTCTCGGAGCATTCTTCTACTCCTTACCTTTAGATAGCTGAATTTAACCTAACCTACCCTACTAGCACCCCTTATCCTTATAGCTTGTGGAGACAGTGCTACCTACAGCCGACTTACCTAGCTAGGTGTTCTAGAGGCGCTTATAGTAGTAGAGACCGCAGACCTAGCCCTTATAATATCTAGAATTTATCTAAAGTTAATTAAACGTTTATAGAGAGCTTTATAATAGAGATAGTAGTATTTAGTAAAAACTTAGTATTTTTAGGTTATTTATTTATATAATACGTTTATTTATAAAGTATATTAATTTTATAATATATAACTTTATATAGCTAGATTATTTATATATATTTATAGTTAGAAAAGAAAACTCTAGAAAGAATCTTTTAAATTTCTATCTCTTATTATACTATATCTAGAAGAGCTAGCGCTATATAAGTTTTCTAGAAATCTTTATTAGATTATAGATACTATATACTATAAGTTTTATAGATTATTATAGAGATATATTACTACTAACTAGAACTAAACTAGATTTTTTTTAAAAGTTAGTTAAATACGTATAGCTTTTTAATTACGTAATATATCTTAGTATAACTTTAGTATAAGGTATAATATATATTAGAGAATATATATATAAATTTTTATAGAAAAATATTTAGATTTTACTTAGTTATTTAAGAAAAACCTATTAATTTTTATTAGTTTTTGTTGCTAAGAAATTATAGAGCGTTTAGTAGTATAGAGCGTTTAGTAGTAAAGTACGTTATAAGTTTTATCTATTATTATAAAGATATAATAGTACTTACTAGAAGAAAACTAGATTTTTTCTTAAAACTTAGTTAAATACGTATAGCTTTTTAATTACGTAATATATCTTAGTATATCTTTACTATAAAATATAATATACTATAGAGAATATATATATAAATTTTTATAGAAAAGTATTAAGGTTTCGCTTAGTTATTTAAGAAAAATAAGTTAATTTTCGTTAATTTTTATTACTAAGAAATTATAGAGGTTTACTTATATAAGACTTTTATCTATAAAGTATATTATTTTTTTATATTATAGTATTATTCTAGTATATTATATTTATAGTAATAATAAAAGAATATAGTAGATTACTTTTATATATTACTTACTTTAAATTTAGCTAGTCTAGATAGCTTAAATTATAAGCTATATTCTAGCTTTTTAAGAAAATAACTTAGTATTAGTAGATAGACTTATAGTAGTTAAGATAATTATTAGTAGAGACTTAGTAAAAGTAACTAGCTTACTTATATAACTAGCTTACTTATAAAGTATATTATTATATTAATAGTAGACTTTCTTCTACTCTATATTATAGAGAGCTATAGTATACTATAAGCTTAGCTCTAGATCTTATTAAATAGTCTAAAGCGTAAGCTATATCTAGAATTTATCTAAAGTTAATTAGACGTTTATAGAGAGCTTTATAATAGAGATAGTAGTATTTAGTAAAGACTTAGTATTTTTAGAGTATTTATTTATCTAGAGCGTTTGTTTATAAAGTACGTTATAGTTCTTATTTTAGAGAGAGATAAGAGATACTAAAAAGTATACGTTAAGTAGAGTCTATGCGTTAAGTAAGAAAACATAGTACTAGTGCAGCAGAGTTTACGCAAGCGCCTCTAGGGATAGAAACCGTTAGAATGCAGCACGGTTGTTTGGCGATAGCAGCCAGGCAACATTGCGATTTTAAACACAGTAAGGATTTACAGGTGAAGGATTAAAGAAGAGGCTGCTGTTGAAGATCGAAGACGCGTGGGTCGTGGTGGCCGCCCGCGAAAGAGCCCGTGGCCAACGAAGCCCTTCGGGACGGAAAATCTGGTCGGTAGACGAATTGGGAATAGGCCGGCGTGTCGGACAACAGCGGGAGCACTTCGGATGTAGATTATTTCAACCAATCAGAGAGCTCATCCTCTTCAGCAACCATAACACCCGCCAACGCATTTTTCCTTTGGATTGCGACAAGCTGAGCTTAGAAATATATGCGACGGCCATATAAGGTTGAGCACCTGGGCAGCCTTCGTGCAGGGCGTGATTGTGACGCGAGTGGCGATTGATTTTCCTGGCTCGTCGGTGGCTAATGAGCGTCCGCACCAGCCACACCTGCGCAGTGGCTAGAACGCTGCAGCCTGCCCTCATTGGCTGAAATAATTATCGTCCGAAGTTGCGATGCGCTTGGGGCGCTGTCAGCTGATTTCGTGATTCTCGCGCGATCCCCACCCATCATTGGCAACACCAACACCACTTCACGAAAGCAGCATGACAGAAGCATAAACTTCGAAAGGCGCTACAGAGAGCGCTCCAGGACACGATGTGACAAAAGTCGGCCGAGCTATTTCATAGTTGACCTTGGGGATATCCGGGTTGATAGACGGAGCTGACCAATCGGAGCGCAGAGAACCCAAGGGAAAGACTGGTATCAATCTACACGACTACGAGCTCAAAGGAGCGACCAAACTACAAGGAAATAGCACCGACAGCACCAAAGGAATGACTATGACGGTAACTCTCCCCTCCTACGCCAACCTCAACGCCTGAACCCGTGCTCCAACCACCCGCACAGTATCCGCGCTTCCGTACCGCAGTCCCTCCTTCGCCACTGCATTCGGGCTTTTCGCATACTCCGGAATGGCACCCAGCCTCCGCTCTAGCTCCTCTCCCTCGGATCCGCATTCGTAGTACCGCAAAAGCGCCCTCGCATCGCCCATCGTATCCGCAAACAGATCCCGACCATATGCTGTGGCATACGAGTCGATGTGGGCCACATCGGTGTAGAGAAGGGTCAGCTCGGTGAAATATTCAGTCGTGCGCTGCTGTTGTTCGCGCGTCATCCCAGCCCAGGTGGAGCGGGCAAGGCCGAAGAATCTCCGCGCTTTCCATTGCCCCAGACGGCGCATTTCGAAGCGGATGCTGTGCGACAGGACGGAGAGATTGTGGGAAAGGACGCGATACTTGTCGTGGACGAGCTCGGACTCGGCAAGTGTGGATGTGAGGTAGTAGCACACCTTGCCTCCTGTGAAGAACCAGCTGTCTTCGATCCTGGCGATCGTCGTGGCGGCCTCTACGTTGTTGTGGATGGAGAAGACGGTCGAGACGGATACAAGGTCGTCGTAGGCGATGCGCGCTTCGTGGATGTTCTGCTTGAGCAGTTTGCTGCCGTTGATGACCTGCTCATTGGCGGCAAGCTGAGCGACTGTGCGGATCAGGAAATGCTCTCGGGTGGCGAGATGGACCTGCGCTTCGGGGTAGATATGGATGAAGCGCATGGAGGGAGCGATCGGAGTGAGCGGCGTTGAAGGGCCACGGAACAGCATCCATGGGAGGGAGAGCAGGAGGCCGAGGAGAGGGCCGATGAGACCTATTCCGAGCACGCAGAGGATCTTCTGGAGCGGAGGCAGTTCGTGCCATTGCACCTGGAGTTGTTGAGACCAAGTGGGTGCGGGAGGTACATAAGGGGTATAGGGTGGAGGGGGTCCGAATGGAGAGGCATCATCAGTGGAGGCCATGGTCTGATGGATTCGGGAAAAGGCGGAAGATCTGATTGAGAGGAAATCTTATCGATGTAGGAAAAAACTAGAAGGCGGAAATGGATGCGGAGAGGGTTAGGCAAAATGAGATGCGCCATGGTAGGAGAGGATATACCGAGCCTGGGACTCACGACTACGCGACATGCTCAGCGCAAAGGCAGTGGAAGGCGTCTGTCGGGAGCTCTGAGCTGCTCAGCCACGTAGATGGTGAGCACATGGGCGCGTCGCTTTCGCTTCCTGAGGGAGACAGTGAGGTCGCCTTCGCCAGGTGAGAAAGCCATGAGTGAGGCGCTGAGACTATACGAAATGGGGAGCGACCGCCATCGCGGCCGGGATGGTCCGCAGGCCATTCTACGAAATGCAGTGCAAGGCGATATCCGCTCGTGGATCCTCAGCAGCCGCGTGATGGGGATGGTGATTCAGTGGCCGGATGTTCTGGTCGCACGGTGAGGTCGTGAGGTCGTGAGGTCGGCTTTGTCTTTCCTGCGGTGCGGCTTGGCGGCTTGGCATTAGTCTGGGCGAGGCCTGTGCGCCGTCTGCGCTTTGTTCTTCTCTCGCACGTTGCCAGCCACCAGCCTCTCGTCTTCAGCAGACAACGACTACAGCACGCCGCCGACCGCTAGTCTTCGGCTTCTGTCGCAGACAACGACCAAAGCACAGCGCTTTTGCTTTGCGTACTGCCCTCCCGCTTTGTTTCCCAGCAGGGGCCGGCCTGTTAGGCATCCCCCGGCCGTCGCGCTTTGTTCTTCTCCCCAGGACCTGCACGCCGCCGACCTCTAGTCTTCAGCCTCTGTCACAGACAAAGTCCAAAGCACGCCGCTTCGCTTCGCATTCTGCCATGCGATCCCGCTTTTGGGGGTGTTAAAGCCCCCCGCCGTCACACGATGGCCACCATTGCACCTCCCAGCAGACCGCGACACCATCGCGCTCTGCCTCTCGCTCTCGCTCTCGTCAACCTCTTCCGCCTCCGCTTCGTGAGCCTCATTATACTTCCCAGCAGGCCGCAAGCATGGCCCCGACAACAGCGCGCGTGCGCTCGCGCTCTCGGTCTCGTCCGCCACCTCCTGGGCTTCTTTCCACTCCGCACGATGGCCGCTCCCGCACCTCCCAGCAGGTCGCGGGCGCAGCTCCGGGGACAGCTCGCCCTCGCTCGCGCTCTTGGTCTGGTCCAGTTCCTCCGCCTCCGCCTCCGCCTCCGCCTGCAGCAAATGGCGGCGGTCTGAATTGGAATCTCGTCGGTAGTCGCAGGCGGTATGCTATCGGACTACTGACTATCCTTGTCCTGCTCTGTGCTTGGGGCTGGCAGGTGACCAACAACGTCCGTCTCTACATGGATGCCCCGCCCCCATTATACCTCGGTAAGCTGATTCTCACCCTCTACCGTCGTACAGGAGCTCACGCAGCCAAGCTCGGTATCCCCCTTCTTGCGAGCCGACCTTCCACCATCATCCGTACCTGGCGCCACTCTTCGGCATTCCGCAACGTTACAGGAACCTCACATATCCTTTGGGCATCGTTGAGAAACACTACAAGACGATAAATAAGTGCTGGCACCCTGACAAGGCCGCCATGCAGCGCCGGTACGGCATCGGGCCTAAGGAGATGGAAGAGATCCGGGCTATATACCAAGACGGCTTCGAGATCGCCAAAGCAGGACCAGTGGTTGTGAAAACGGTTAAGAAAAGGCCATGGGAAGTCGTGTCCTACGAGAAGCTTCCCATCCAACACTCAGAACTATTCAGGAATGCAACGGCCAAGCTCCCTCACGTTCCCCGCCACAGTGGAGACTGCTTCTGCGGCCTCAGCGAGGCCTTGGTTGGCTTTGCTAGGGCTTCCATCACTCCCTACTACAAGCTGCCTGACAACATCTACCCGCCGCCGCCGAATGTGACCGCTCCTGCCGTTTCTTCCGCCGTCCCGACTTGTCCGCTGTGTACTGTCAAGCGTGCGTACAGTGCCACAGTATACTTCTTTGACCACCTACCCCCGCCAGGACATCCATTCTGGGACTCCGATGAGGTGGTGAACTCGTGGTCGCCGATAGACATGTACGCTCTGTTTCGATATAGCGGTGAAAGCATGCTGTGGTGGTTCTCAGAGCCATCGTGGGAGGACAAGGTACAATGGGCGAGGCAGGGGTGGACCGGCGGGTGGAATCATGTCACCTTGGATCCCAAATTCAATGCGTTGCCCCTAGAGGAGCGGATGGAATTGCACCAGGAGGAGTATGTGGAGGTGACATGGGTTGACGAAGATTGACAAGTGGCTCATGGGAAGGCAGAGTGGACAGTATGCACGAACAAGTCTGCAAGGACTTGATTGAGCATCGTTGATACGGTAAAGGGATACGTTTCAAATTACAAATTGTCCTTTAGCATCAGTTCACATGTGAAAATTGGTGGCGCATCGCTGCCTCGCCTTAATGTTCTCATTCATCCTTCCAGCAGCCGCTTGACTTACCCCTGTCTTACTTTCTTTGTCTTCGCACACGCGAAACCCCTCAGCTCAACCCACTTTCCCGCCTCGCCAACAAAAGAGTACGAATATCAGTCCTGATCGGGGCAGCAGCGAGCAGCCTGTAACCGCTGCCAATCTTTTTCATGTCAGCCATCGCCATGATACCATCACCAGGGCTCACCCCCTTTATTCCGGAGGAGGCCCAGGTCGACTGTTCGTTTCTTTTTGAGGACGTTTCCATCTCTAGGTCGACGCCGACGCCGACGCCGCTCGTCCTTGCGTTAATGAAGGCGGCCGCGCGCTGTGGAGGTTCCTGGCTTAGGTTCGGAAGATGCCATAGCTCATGTGCTCCGTTTTCTTTGTTTAGGAAACGTGTTGAAGGTTTGGAGGCTCAGCCTTGGGTTTCGGAAGATGCTATGGGTGGGTCCTTGGGGGGTTTGGTTTTTAGGAAATAGTGTTGTTATGATTCAGTTCGACGCCACCTGTCGTCGCGTTATTTCTGGAGTCGTGTCGTTGTGGGGGGCCGACACTGTTAGCTTACGTCTCACCTTTTGTCTCCTGCTCTTTCTTTCTTTCTACTAACTCTGTATCTTTATCGATCGTTCTTTCTACTGAGTTTTATATCTTTGTTGATCGCGGCGTATTGTCCTCCCTGCACATACTTCCATTGTTTCCCTATCCGCACCAATCTTTAGCGACCTTTCTTCATGGCGATGCTGAGGCCACGGAAAGCAGGGCCGATCATGTCCTAGGTAAAAGAGGTCGTGGAAGGCCTCGAAAGACCACTTCAAAGCCCAATTCACAGGCTCCCAGCAATGCAGGCCGCGCGAGTCTAAGTATAGCTGCGGAAGAGCGTTCTATGTCACCCCGGCAATCCGCATCTCTCCAACCCAATTTCCCAGGTCCAAGTAGTTCCAGACACGCCAAAAAAGTCATGTACCGAGAAAGACAAAGGTCTTCTAGTCCAGTATGTGCCTTCCCTATGCTACAAGACGCTCACTAACCGAGGTTTAAGGATCAGTCTTCCAACCTCGCAGAGTTCGTCGTCAACATAACCTCCTTCCTCAAGGAGACATTGCTGAAGGCGATTGTGGACACCTCCAACGAAAACAATAAACAATTGAACGAAAGCAACAACCAAATGATATCCCAACTCCGCGGCATCCAAGATGCGATCCAGTCCTGCGACCCGAACGTCACCAACGCTCTCGCGAGTCCTGCAAGCTACCAAGATCTTCTTGAATTCAAGCGCGTCGTCCTGCAGAGCCTGGTCAACCAGAACCAGTCACTATTGGAGATGAAGACAGGCCAAAGCATGCTCGACGACAAACTCCGGCGCCTCGTAACTCTCGTCGACGAGCAGTTGACCGCCCTTTCGCAGGGGGTTAGTGCCGTCCGCGCGCGCTTCTATGAGCTTGAACGGCCATCCCCCATGAATGGGAATGAGGACCGCTCCCGGGAGATGATGGCTTGGCCTGATGAGCTGGAATAGGCCGGAACCGGCCCTTCTCTCGCCTCGGTCGCAGCAGACGTGGAGGCCGTCGAAAAGCTCCTGAGGAGACACCGGCCGGGTCTCGAACAGCTGGAGAAGATGTCGGAATTCCGGCGCCGACTTCTCCACATCGAGGAGCTCGCAGCACCAATGGCAACGCTTGAGACCAGCATCAAGACGCAGTTTGGATCTGTTCACAAGAAGTTCTCTGACATGGACGGGAAGATGACAGACCTGGAGCGCTCCGTTTCCGACCTCGCCAACTCGCACTCCGCACCGGCGACTGCGCCTTCTCAGCCGCCCCTCAACCCCGAGACGTTCGCCACCGCGGTCATGGAGAACATGCGTCCCGCGGTTACGAGCATGGTGCACGAGTCCATGGCGAGCTTCGACTGGTCCCGAATCCAGGTCCCCATTCCCATACCGACTCCCACCACCGAGAAGCAACCCCCCACCATCTCGGACAGCGAGAAAGATACTCAGATCGCAGACCTCAGCACGCATCTCGCCTCCGCCCAGGACGAAGTTGCCACGCTCAAGGACGGCATGGCAGCCTTGCAGCAAGACCACGCCTCCTCCCGGGATCTTCGACGCAGATCCGTAGTGTCTCACATATAGAGTCTTTGCACATGGTGTATAGGCATAAGTTGACAGTATATTGCTACCTAAGTTGTCTGCCGTTGTTGCTCTACCTTCTCTCTAGATCTAAGAGGTCTTAGATTTAGTTCTCTTTCTACTTGCTAATACTCTTAATAGCCTTCTTCTTCTTAGTATTATAGCTCTTATTCTTCTACGTTTTCTAAAGTAGACCTTTAATAAACTCTTTGTTACAAGCTATTCTTATAACTCGAACCGAGGCTTACTTTCGTAAGAGAAGGCAAGAGGTATGCTTTAAACTTAGAATTATTTAGTAATAAAGAGATAACGTACTTCACCACCGAACGCCCCACACCACCGAACGCCCCACGATTTCTTGGCAAGGAAAATCAACGAAAATCAACCCGTTTTTCTTAAATAACTAAGCGAAACCTTAATATTTTTCTATAAAAATTTATATATATATTCTTTATAGTATATTACACCTTAGATTAAAGTTGTACTAAGATATATTACGTAATTAAAAAGCTATACATATTTAAGTAACTTTTAAGAAAAATCTAGTTTACTTCTAGTTAGTACTATTATATCTCTATAATAATCTATAAGACTTATAGTATATAGTGTATATAACTTAATAAAGAGTTCTAGAAAACTTCTATAGCGCTAGCTCTTCTAAGTATAGCGTAATAAGAGATAGAAGTTAGAAAAATTTCTTCTTAAAGCTTTCTTCTTCTAACTATATATATATATAGTTAATCTAGCTTTATAAACTTATTATTTTATATATTATAGTTTGTTTTAACTATATAGAGCTTATTAACTAATAATATAGTAGCTTTAAGTAGTTATTTAAAAGTAAAGTCTTTTTAGTAGTATAGTATAGAAAGATAGAAAGATACTAAAACTATTTTAAAATTATTACTTCTAAATACATAGAAGGCTTATAGTATATATAATCTTATAATATATAACTTTATATAGCTAGATTATTAATATATATATATAATTAGAGAATAAAATTCTAGAAAGACTTTTTCTAACTTCTATCTCTTATTACGCTATACCTAGAAGAGCTAGCGCTATAGAAGTTTTCTAGAACTCTTTATTAAGTTATAGATACTATATACTATAAGTTTTATATATTATTATAGATATATAATACTACTAACTAGAAGTAAACTAGATTTTTTCTTAAAAGTTAGTTAAATACGTATAGCTTTTTAATTACGTAATATATCTTAGTGTAACTTTAGTATAAGGTGTAATATACTATAAAGAATATATATATAAATTTTTATAGAAAAATATTAAGGTTTCGCTTAGTTATTTAAGAAAAACAGGTTAATTTTCGTTAATTTTCCTTGCCAAGAAATCGTGAGGCGTTCGGTGGTGTGGGGCATTTAGTAGTAAAGTACGTTAGAGGTAATAAGATAATAAGTTATAGTTATAACGTACTTTACAAGCAAGCTAGTTATACAAGCAAGCTGGTTACTTTCTCTTAGCAACGAAAATTAACGAAAATTAACGAAAATTAACTCGTTTTTCTTAAATAACTAAGTAAAACCTTAATATTTTTCTATAAAGATTTATATATATATTCTTTATAGTATATTACACCTTATAGTAAAGTTACACTAAGATAGATTACGTAATTAAAAAGCTATACGTATTTAACTAACTTTTAAGAAAAAACCTAGTTTACTTCTTATAAGTACTATTATATCTCTATAATAATATATAAAACTTATAGTATATAGTATCTATAACTTAATAAAGGTTTCTAGAAAACTTCTATAGCGCTAGCTCTTCTAGATATAGCGTAATAAGAGATAGAAGTTTAAAAAAATCTTCTTTAGAGTTTTCTTCTCTAACTATAGATATATATAAATAATTATCGTAGAGACTCTTAATTAGGTAATAAAGTATTAAGACGATTCTAAGACGATTATATAACTCTCTAGTTACGTGCGTAATTACGTGCCTGTCTATATATAGACAAGCTCTTAAGTAGAGTTTTCTTAATAATAGATCTATTTTCTAGCTTTCTAATTTACTATAGTTATAAGCCTAGTAGTAGTAAAGCTCTACGTAATATAATAGCTATAGAGCCTTAATTATAGTAGTAGTCTATTCTCTATTTCTTATTACCTTTTTTTCTTTCTTTCTCTCTATAGCTATAGAGCTTACAACGTTAAATACTACGCTTCTAATAAGTATCTATCTTCTTAATTAAAATATATTTCTACTATAGTACGCCTAGCTTAAATATTACGCGTAAGTATAAGGTATATAAACCTAGATTAATTCTACTATAGTATCTTAGTCTATAGGTAAAGCTTCTAAAGCTCTTACGCTTAATACTAATATAGAGACGCTACGTATATATTAAATTAGATTCTCTATATATATCTAGCTTGCTATAAAACTCTAGGTAATCTAGAACTAGGTATACGTAACTATTAATCTATAAAGGCTAGAGCTTATAACGCTATAAGTAAGCGATTAGTTACTCTATACTCTTATAGAGAAGCTTAAGAAGAATCTTTACCTAAGCGATAATAACTAGAAGAAGCAGGTACGTAATATCTACTAAGAGGTTACTTATTACCTATAAATAGAAGTAAGCTATAAGCTATATACTTAGATACTTAAATAAACCTACGCTTACGCTAACACTAGACTTATTAATCTTAAAAAGATTAAGAGCACGCTTCTAATTAAGAATTTTCTACGCTCTACTATTAAGTTCTATTCTAAGTAGGCTTAACATAAGCTTAACTCTTTTACTTAACCTAGTACTACTTATTATAAGCTATTCTCTTAACTAAGACTAGAGCTTACTTTTATAAGAGAGAGTAAGAGGTATACTTTAGGCTAGAATCTTTAGTAATAAAGAGGTAGACGTAATAATACTATAAATTATAAGTTATAGTAGTAATTTAATAAGTAAAGTAATAACTATAAGAAGCTATAAAAAGTAAGCTTCTTCTAGTTATATATATATACTCTTTAGCTAGATTAGGTACTAAGATCTAGCTTCTATAGATTTCTTAGATTAGAGCCTAATCTCTAGATCTAGTTCTAATTCTTTTAATTCTTCTAATCTATATTATATAACTCTAATTATTTCTATAACTTTATACGTAACCTCTTATTCTATAACTTTAGACTTAGCCTACTATTTTCTCTATTCTAGCTAGCTAATCTTATTACTTATTCTATAATTATAATACTACTATAATACTTACTCTTAACGCTTACGCGCGCTAGTTCTTATAGCTTATTTAGAGTAAGAAAAGCTATCTAATATACGCTACGCTTATAGAATAGAGTAATTATAATTAGAGTAATTATAGCTATCTATATTAATAGAGTATAGAATACTACTAGAAGCTAGTTAACTACGCTTAATTATAATACGTAATCTAGAGATAATTAATAAAAAAGCTTTATAATCTACCTTTAGTAGAAGAAGTAGTAAGAATTCTTAAATAATTATAAGGCGATTAATATAAGGCTCTACGCGCTAATCTAGAGTATAAGAGAATCTTAGATAGTTATAATAGAGATATCTAGTATCTTAGATCTATTAAAGTATAAGCTCTATATAGCTACGTATCTTAGAAAATAGTAACTCTAGTATACTCTTATAAAGCATTATACGTTTAGCTATACTACTCTCTTTTCTTTACCTCTATAGCTACGTGTCTCTATAACTAGCTATCTAAGTACGCTCTTATAAAGTATTATAATATCTAGCGTCTAGCTTTCTCTTATTTATACGCTTTTCTTTTTCTTTTATAGCTACGTATACGTATAACTTATCTACGTTCTACGCTCTTATAAAGCGTTATAGTAATAGATTTTTCTATTCTCTTTATTTTATATAAGCTTAGTACTTATACTAGCTTTTCTATATTTCTTATCTTCTTATAATTAATTTATAGCTCTTCTTATAGTAGCTCTAAGAGCTAGAGAGTATATTATAAAGGCTCTTAATTAGATAATAGAGTATTAAGATAATTTTAAGATAATTATATAACCTTCTAGTTATATATATAATTATATATCTATCTATATATAGATAAGCTCTTAAGTAAAGTTTTCTTAATAATAGATTTATTTTCTAGCTTTCTAATCTACTATAATAATCTAGCTATATAAAGTTATATACTATAAGATTATATATACTATAAGTCTTCTATATATTTAGAAGTAATAATTTTAAGATAGTTTTAGTATATTTCTCTCTTTCTATACTATACTACTAAAAAAAGTTTACTTTTAAATAACTACTTAAAGCTAGTATATTATTAGTTAATAAGCTCTATATAGTTAAAGCCTACTATAATTTATAAAATAATAAGTTTATAGAGCTAGATTAACTATATATATATATATATATAGTTAGAAAAGAAAACTCTAAAGAAGATATTTATTATAGTATAAATAAGAAATAAAAATTTAAAATATATAATAAGTTATATAATATTAAACTATAAAGATATAAAGGCGTAGAGAAGATATCTACTATACTAAGATACTAAGATAACTAAGATTATATAGCTAAGTAGGCAGGTTAGTACTATAATAGTATCTCTCTTCTAGAAAGCTATACGTTTTAGATAGTCTATAAAATAATAAAATATTTAGACTAACTAGTATTTATAGCTTCTTTATCTATTATAGTAGACCTAGCTTACTTAGATAGTAGATATAAAATCTTAGTAATACGTTATTCTAGTCTTTTAGATCTAACGCTAGTTACTATATTATAGTATAGTTCTTTTATTTAATAAGATACTATAGTTCTAGTTACTTATTATAGTAGTCTAGTATTATATTAAACTTCTACTTCTTAGTAAGTTCTTCTATACTATTCTTTCTTTTAAGAATTCTTTTATAAAGATAGTATAACTCTATTTTATTAATTATCTATTAACCTAGAAGACCTATAAAAGCATGCTAAGAGTAAAGTAGCAAGTTATAAAATACTAGAAAAATTTATATATATAGTAGAAGTTCTAATACGTATAATTAATTATTAACCTTTAATATCTTATATAGCTCTATAAGCTTATTATCTTTTTTTTTATTAGTCTATTTATCTTTATATTCTACGTATTAATATAGATAAGATCTTCTATTATAAATTATAGTATATCTTTACGTTTCTTATTTATATAGTATTTATACTAAGTAATAGACTAAGTAGCTAGTACTTTTAGTTAGAATAGAATATAGCTAAACTAATTAGCTATATTATTAGCTTTAAAGAACTTATATTTTTTATAGTAGATAGTTTTAGTAGTACTAGCTATACTAGCTTAACTTCTAATCTTAGATAGAAGCTATAATTTATAAAGAATAGAGATACTTCTATAGTCTTAGATATAATATTATTTATTATAAATTCTATAAGTAGTAGCTACTATACCTAATTATTCTAGTAGAAGTTTATAAAGACCTAGAAATATACTTTAATAAAGCTATTAACTTACTCTATTTACTTATCTATCTCTAAATAGAATAAGAATAAGTATTTAAAAATAACTTCTAAGTAAGTAGAAAGCTATATCTAGAACTAGAAGATAAACTATATACTATAATTAAAAATAATATTATTAGAGTAGCTATAACGTACTTTATTATTAAAAGCTCTATATTATCGAAAGCTCTACGATTTCTTAGCAACGAAAATTAACAAAAATTAACCCGTTTTTCTTAAATAACTAAGCAAAACCTTAATACTTTTCTATAAAGATTTATATATATATTTTTTATAGTATATTACACCTTATATTAAAGTTGCACTAAGATAGATTACGTAATTAAAAAGCTATACGTATTTAACTAACTTTTAAGAAAAAACCTAGGTTTCTTCTAATAGGTACTATTATATCTCTATAATAATCTATAAAACTTATAGTATATAGTATCTATAACTAAATAAAGGTTTCTAGAAAAGTTCTATATAGCTAGCTCTTCTAGATATAGCGTAATAAGAGATAGAAGTTTAAAAATATTCTTTTATAGTTTTCTTCTCTAACTATAGATATATATAAATAATCTAGCTATATAAAGTTATATATTATAAGATTATATATACTATAAGCCTTCTATATATTTAGAAGTAAGAATTTTAAGATAGTTTTAGTATATTTCTCTCTTTCTATACTATACTACTAAAAAGACTTTATTTTTAAATAACTACTTAAAGCTACTATATTATTAGGTTATAAGCTTTATATAGTTAAAGTCTACTATAATTTATATAATAATAAGTTTATATAGCTAGATTAACTATATATATATATATATAGTTAGAAGAGAAAACTCTAAAGAAGATATTTTTCTAACTTCTATCTCTTATTACGCTATACCTAGAAGAGCTAGCTCTATAAAAGCTTTCTAGAAATCTTTATTAAGTTATAAATACTATATACTATAAGTTTTATAGATTATTATAGTAATATAATAGTACTTACTAGAAGAAAACTAGATTTTTTCTAAAATTTAGTTAAATATATATAGCTTTTTAATTACGTAATATATCTTAGTATAACTTTAGTATAAGGTATAATATACTATAAAGAATATATATATAAATTTCTATAGAGAAGTATTAACGTTTCGCTTAGTTATTTAAGAAAAACTCGTAAAGTTCTGTTAATTTTTCTTGCTAAGAAATTGTAGGTTATTCGATAGAGTAACTAGTTCGATAGTAAAGTACGTTATAGTATCTTAATTTATTACTAACTTATATTATTAAGTTACTTAATTAGCTTAAAAAAGATAATAAGCTAATAGCGTATTAGCTAGTACTTATAGAGTC